GATATGTACTTATCTACTACCTCCTACTACACCATAAGCAGCACACTCTGTATTAGTGCAAGAATTAATAGCAATAAGTACTTCATTTTGACTTCCCCTTATATTACTGGAAACTAAGCATATATAGTAATGTTTATGATGGTATTAAAATTATTTGAATCAAAATTTTTAATTGTCAAAATTTACCAAATCCAGTCCAGCACACACACTAACTCTAAAGTCTATTACCCTCTACTACACCATAAGCAGCACACTCTTCCATTGATAGTTCCGACTGAGGAACTGTTAATGTTACAGTTTTGTACTGTGGGAATCCAGCACTCTCTACTACACCATAAGCAGCACATTCTTTTACTGGTAGTTCATAGTCTCCCTCTGACTGTGGAGCTGGTAGATCTACAGTCTCATACTGTGGGAATCTAGTTCCTTCCACTACACCATAAGCAGCACATTCTTCCATTGATAGTTCTGATTGTGGAACTGGTAGATGTACATTCTCATACTGTGGATTAACTGATGATAGTTCTTGCTTATGTGAACCTGTAATAAAATAAAACTTTTCTATAAATAATAAATTACAGTACTTTGATTATTATTTTCATTCCTCTTCAGTAATATACTAATATAACGTCATTAATCACTTCCATTCTTTCTCTTCTCTTTTTAAATCGAACTGTTGCTGCTACCACTACAATTACTATAACAACTACAATGTACATATTAATGACAACATTTGATTATAATGTACATACCAATTATTATAATTAGTAGTGCAATTGATATCCCAGAAGCCAGTTCAATAATTGATGATGAAGAAGATATGGATGAAGGAGCTGTCAATGAAGGAGTTGGGGATGAAGAAGAAGTTATAGAAGTGACTGATGGCAAAGTTAAAGATAAAGAAGATGAAGAGAAAGGTGGACTCATGAATGATGTAAAAGGTGTAGATGAAGAATTTATCATAGATGAAGGAGATGAAGACAAAGATATAAAAGTTGAGTATGAGGAAGATAGGAAAGTATTGAATGAGGTTTCGGAAGAAGGTACTAGAACTGATGAGGATGTAGCAGTTAAAGTACCTATGTATACAATGAAGTACATTATAACTATACACAAATGAACATACACTGTACCTGTCACTAATGTACTAGTTAATCTAGTGGTATGAATAGAAGTAGAGCTACTGATGGTAGGAGTATCTGTAGTACTGCTTATGATGGAGCTACTTGTAACTTGTTGTACTGTTTAAGTAGTTGAAATAGTTTGCACTGATGAAGGATATGTTTCAAACTCAGACATTATTGATGGAGTTGGTACAACTAAAGTATGGATTTTTGTTGGTAAGGACGTCATTGATGAAGTAATTGAATTAGATGATGAAGTAGTTGGAACTGATGAAGTAGTTACTACTGGTGAAGTAGATATTATTGATGATACAGACATCATTGATGGAGTAGTCAATACTGTTGATGTGAGTGATACTGATGATGAATGAACTGATGACATTAGAACTGAAGATGTAGAGTCATTAGTAATATTAATACCAGTTATTACAGCAGGAGAATTAGATATACAGATCCATATGGTTGCCCATTCACATGCATACAGTGTTAAGTTATTACCAGCTGGTATGCCATCAAAACACTTAATAAAGTTCAATGAATCATTAAGATGTTTGAGGTCATCCCAATGAAACTGGCCTTGACTATCAATAATGTGAATGTAATCAATATAAAGTGTACTGCCATTGACAAACTGAAACTGAACACAAACAGAATTTGATGTAACATTAATCAATGTCAAGTTCAGGTCATGAGTACCTTAAAATAAGTAAATATCATAATGTATTAATTGTGTATTACTTACTGATTGTTATAGTGTTGCTTTGAACTGTAACTCCATTTTGATAGTACAAGGTAGCATTAGTATTCAGTGTCTTATTTGATGGAAATTGAACAACAAGTGAAATGTTATTATAAGAACTATTGCTTATGGATACATTTGTTGTTGAATAACAGTTATCCTTAGTACATCCTTTCAATGTAATGTTCATTAGTGGTGGTACATTAGTACAAAACTGATGAACCTAAAAAGAATACATAGCCTTGTTGTTTTAAGCAGGTAATCACAACTGACAGTAAACACACCATGGGATATCATTATTAAGTACAATATAGACTATACATTATAATACATGGTACATTTATTACACATTACCTATAATACATTATAATACTATAGTCTGTCTGTCATCATTTGTCACTATTCACTATTACTATAAAGTTATCATAGCCGGCTATGATTAATCCTATTAGGGAACTTACAGATACAATGAAATGAAAAGTCCAATTTACATTCCCTCTTTCCTTATCAGTTACATATAACTGTACATCTACTGTATAGAATAATCACTTTAGGCTCTCAATAAGTATAATTACTTACTTGTTGATTCAAATCCAACAGTTATGTTACTAGTAGATCCATTCCCAGCTTTATTAGTAGTTGTAATGTTAAACAGATATTGTTTATTGGTTGGGTTCATTGGGCAGTAAGTATAGTTAGTGATAGAGTCATTAAGGTACTGTTGATCAGTTCCTACACTGATTATATACTTTACTGTTAGTCTTGGTAGTGTGAATGGAGGATACCAACTGATAAACATACAACAAGAATCTAACTGATATACTGTTAAACTACTGACACTATCAGGTGGACCTGTCAAATGATAAAAATTGATTAAGTGCATTCAATCACTGCCCATTTGGTAAGAAATAACAGTGCTTATAATATTTTAGTGAATGTGTTATACTGACCTTGTACATATAGATATGCTGGTTCAGTCCTAGCTCCATTGGGTGCCTCACAGGTAACTTCTGTACCATTTACTTCACTTGTTGCAGTTAAGCTGAGTGATGCCATTCCACCAGAGGATAATACTGAACCATCAACTGATGGATAAGTCTCAAAGGAGGGATGATAATGAGTCACATTAATAGCACATTCAAATATAACAGTATCATTGACATATACATATTGTGTCACTGGTACAATAATGAATGATATACTTGCACCTAAAATAGTTCAAAATTTTACATATCAAAATTAGAACTTACCAGAAAAGAAAATTTGAAAGAAAATCATTACAGCAGCAACAAAGGCCATCATGTTCAGTGAACCAACCATGCAATTTGACATTAATGTTGTAAAGGTGTGGCTTTACATCCTACATACCTCATTATGTATGCATGCAATTTTCTTAATTACAATTTCTCAGACTGGTAGTTTGATATGTACTTATCTACTACCTCCTACTACACCATAAGCAGCACACTCTGTATTAGTGCAAGAATTAATAGCAATAAGTACTTCATTTTGACTTCCCCTTATATTACTGGAAACTAAGCATATATAGTAATGTTTATGATGGTATTAAAATTATTTGAATCAAAATTTTTAATTGTCAAAATTTACCAAATCCAGTCCAGCACACACACTAACTCTAAAGTCTATTACCCTCTACTACACCATAAGCAGCACACTCTTCCATTGATAGTTCCGACTGAGGAACTGTTAATGTTACAGTTTTGTACTGTGGGAATCCAGCCACTCTCTACTACACCATAAGCAGCACATC